CACCTTCAGCATTTCAGGCTCACACAGTATCTGGGACAACAAAAAGCGTGCATAACAAAAACACAGCATGCTGCCCATGACTAAGATCATCAGGTCTCCAGGAAATGTGGATGTCTTTCCTGAGCTCACTTTGTACCTGCAAAGCTAAACAATCAACATGAGACAGACTAAGTATGACAAGTGTGCCAAAAGCTCAAGACCAGCAAATCAACAGCCATGGCTGTTACTGGAGGCAGCGGTACCTGCTGAAGGCAGTTCCTGAATGGCAGAGCACACGCATGTTAGCTACATGACTACAAGCTACCCGTACTCTGTGTTTTTGGTGTAACTTCCTCTGTTCACATCAGCATGTAGATGTGTAGTAAGATAGGGTCTGGCGACCGGAAGATATCGTGCTGTACGGAAAGGTAAGACACCCCTCTCTCTCTCCTAGTAGCCAATAGCACTTAGCCTGTGATGTAAGCAGGCAGAAGTGACGTAGTGAACCCACACCATATAGTACTGTGTCGCACAGCATTAAACGCCATTTGCAGCATCCTCATATTGGTGTCAGTGCTCATTGGCCCAGAGACGGGGTGAGGGTTTGTCTCTGTGCCTCCTCGACCGGACAGGACGTTGCGGGATAACAACTGCATAATAGATGCTTTCCGTAGCACGGTCTAATATCTGCTGCAGTTGTAGGCACCCTCAACCATTTCTCCATTTCATATAGCCAGAGGTCTGGCATCTGATCCCAGCCAACACAGAGGGAAGGAAAGGCACACAGGGCTTCACCAAGTAGAAGGTCAAGATGCCAAAGAAGTAGACTCAAAGTGTATCTCAACTATGACTTCTTAAGGCACATGGCTATGTCAAAACCAAGTCCAGAAATTGTAAGCAGCTATCTTCCCTTTCCCTAGTATTTAACTGTTATATATGTGGTAAGAATTTTATAATGGTAGTAGAAACATCCTACATGACGGGAAAAAATTTCAAAAAGGATGCTATCTTTTTAAAAAGAAAAGGCAATGCATGTTCCTTTAATTATTTTATCAGTCTTCATTGGAGTTTTCAACAATGAGCTATCAAAAACTTGCCTGAAAAAGCCCTTCATTTTCAGTAATCCTTCCATCCCAAATAACTAATCAGTGGTTATAAAATATCATTGAAAACACCTAAGTGTTACATGCCAATCATTAGGAGTCATTTCCCAGGATGTCCTAGTGTGAAGTTTACGAGCAGAATTTGGACAAAGCATGGAATAAAAAGCAAAAACAATTAGTCCTGACAATTAATTAAAGAAAAGTTAAACAGGAGAGTGTTAGATAACATCAGCAGCTACCAGGAAAAAAAAAGCTTCACATAGCTTTTGTTATTCTCATCTACATACTACAACTATTGTTCCAAAACTCCATGGCTTGTCTTTGTATATATAAAGACTACTCACACTAAGATGTTTCCATTATACATCAATAAAATACTTTCATCTTTGGGTCTTTTCAAAGTAAATCAAACTAATAGTGCTGCACAGGCACTATGGCAAACAATGTGTTGTGTATTAATCACTGAAGTCATGAAACTTACTGTCCTCTCAAGTAAGATACAATGAGGTTGTCATGGCACTTTGAAGTCAGATGAAAAATTCTATAATGGCTGTAGCAGGGCTTTTTGTTTGTTTTCTTAAGTTTAGCAGTTCTGATTGGTTTTCTCAATTCCAGTAACTGAAGATGGCAGAGATGCCACTGGTATGCTTCTGCCTTCCATGCTCACAATAGCAACCCGTGACACAGTTAAATCCCACAGTTTCCTTTCCTTTGGGCTTCATTATTTTTTTATTTATTTGCTTGGGTAATCTGTCTACCCTAAACACACCATTTGAATATTTTCCTTTTGGTCACCATTTCATTTCCAGCAGTTATGTTCTATTCCTCCTAAAATACTTAGGAGCCATTTTTCAATCATTACTCACAAAATCCCCAAACATTTTCAGTCCCTCTTCCTTCTCCCCAATATCTAGAGAGGACAAGCTAGGTAGTGCAACCAGTACTCCTTTTTTGTATGTCACAATGTGCTCCTCAAAACCCCATCATATGCTGTGCTGTCCTGATTCTGGTTCCTCCTCCTGGCTCCTTCCCCCAGTTCCTTCCCATCTTAACTGCTTCTGCATCCTTTCTTCCCTTGACACTGCACAGGAGTACTTGTCATCATGCTTCCAATTATGGAGTGCATTTCACCCTCTTTCCTTCCTTTCCACTTTCTCCATTTCTACCTCTGAAGCTCAAGTTCACCAAAACATATGACCATTTCTTCACTTCTTGCATCCTTCCACTGTTCCCATTACACATTTCTAGCTCCTTGCTTCCTAAAGTATCCCACATTTCAATAAAGGTACTTTTATGTTGCTCAATGCTATTATTAATCACTCCTGCATTAATTCCTTTACTAGTTCTCTCACTTGCTCTTTCAGCATCCCCTTTAACGATTTCAACTACTCTTCCCCCCCCGCCCCGTGGGCAAAAGTTTGTCAACTCTCTCCTATTATCCTCAGGCAGTATCATCTGCAGTCTCCTATTCCTAAATTAAAACAAGAAACTGAGTACTCTTCTCATTTGTCCCCTTGCCTGTTGCTTCCAGCAAGCTGTCAACACCTCAAATTCTAAATAGTGAAAATAAAAAAGCAAGGATACCTATCTTCCCTGTCAAGTACATAGTCACTCTAAAATTACTTTATCCTACCCTTGAAGTCTGTAGGTATGAGACTTTTTTCCCCCCTCAGAAAGTTAAGCCTTCCCCCTTCTTTTTCCCAACTACCAAGCCATTTGCTAATCATTGTAATTCCAACAGATGTAAAGACTCCTCTTTTCCAGTTAGCTGGAATTTATGTAAATCTCTCTAGTCTTTTACAGAAGTCACGCTTCATTCATTGTCTGACATAATTAATCTTTCTGAATCACACCCCAGTGTAGCTTCTGCAACATGCCTGTCCTGTTCACACCCTTCTCTCTTCCTTAAACTTCTGTGTCAAAGCTTGCATCATTCTTAATGTCTCACATATTTCTCCTAAGCCTCTCTTCTCTACGCCACGAGTCACACTGCCACTTAAAGCTAACTTGCCACTTCAGCAGAAAAGCTAAAATACCCTTCCAGACCTCCAAAGAATTCACATCTACAATACTCTACACAAAATTAACCCTTTCTAGGCAAAGATCACTGAAGGCTCAAGTGATTCTCAACACTGCAACCATCAGTGTGCTGTTCCATTCTACAGAGTATCTTATCTGAGCATATATTATATGGAAAAGAATTTATTAATCTGTGACAGAAAAAATACTCAATAAAAGCACCATTAAGTACCCTTATGTTTGTTAGGTGACAAAGTAAAGAAAAAAGGGGTACAATGGTAAGCATCATACCCATCAGTTCTGTCATTTTAACAGTGAATCCACAATGTATTTAACAATTCAAACACACAAGTATTAATAGTGTACCTTTATTTTAACACGTGCACTGCACTGATGCAGTAGATACAATGCCAGCAGTCTTCTCTTTGCACAAACTACTATCAATCAAGTTTTCAAATATTTAAATCACATTTCTAGGCAGAAGCAGTATTTAGTGCAAAGAGTAATTAAGAAAAACCTAGTGTTAACCATGTCTTGGGAACTGTTTGCATACACAGTGCAGCAATCATAGCTATTTCCCAACTGGCCTTAAACCTGGAAAACTGATGAGCTATAGCAGTTTGCATTTGAAAATTCTAACACAAAAAGACTTCTTTCCATCTAAAAAAATCTAAACTACAGCAACAAATAAATAAAGACTGACAGTGGGTATATATTTGCTCAGAATCAATACAGCAACTTAAAAAAATATAAAGATAGCATTCAGTGTTTACTGAATTGCTTTATACTGCATCTATCACTTTAAAAAAACCTACATTAAAAAAAGTTTAAAGAAAAAAGAATTCCTCCAACTCTCTTTATCCTCATCCATTGAAAAGGAAAGACTTGCAAGCACTGCTGCCTCTCACCTGTCAATATGTAATTCAGGTCCCCTGGTCATTCCAGGAATCAATTACAGAACATCCCTGCACACTCAACATCTCTGTGCTCAGGGAGCGATGCTAAAGAAAAATGCTAGCCTTAGTACAGCAAGCATATTAAGTCACCTTCCAGTTCACAAGTTTCTTTGCTAAAAACAACCACCCCCACTTGTGTCTGATTTCTACATCTATCAGTCTCACTTGGGAACACATATGCTGTAAGCCCTGTCCCAGTGAACGCCTGTGTGCTTAATTTCACCTACATGAGTAATCACGCTAGGAATCAATGGGAATATTCACTCTTGCAAGGTAAGGATACATGTAACTGTTTATCGGAGATCTGCATTCATTTGCAGCTATACAATATACTGACTGCAGTCCTGTACCATAAATGAAGGGTCACTACTAGGGCATAGGCAATAATACCAAGGTAATTTCTGGGATGTATACAGCAGAGCTAAAACACCCAGGGAAATGCAAGACACTTCTCCATTTTAGAGGGAGGCTCTGCTCTTTGGGAATATTTAGGGATGCACAAGCTGTAGGCCACAGAAGAACTGTACCCCGTGTCTATTAAAGAATTAACATTAACTGCAATAATTTAAAACAATAAGACTGGAGAATACTTCTATTGGCTCTTCAAACTGAAAGTATTTTAACAGCACAACTGTACAAAACAAAAATAACTATATACCAAATGAAGAGCAAATTTTTGCTAGTTTTCCAGTATCACTGTGGAATTGTACATAGGTTATTCATATTTCATGAACAGTTTATGTATGTAGGACACAGTAAAATTCTTTATGTATGATTTAAGAATACAGATCTGAGGAGTGCTTTTTTGTTTGTTTCTGTTTTCATTAACAGTATCTTGGAGGAAGGAGGAAATCAACTTCCTCCCATAAAACTAAGAAAATGTTGATACTAGGTGTTGAATAGAAAAACATTATTATGGTTCAGGGTTAGAGTGTTTAGGGAAATAGTGCACTTTTTATTCTATCTTGGAAATGTACAGGAATGGACAGAATGGTTATACCCTTCTACCTCATTTCAAGTGGGATCATTTAAACACTGAAAGCAAAGTTTTAGTGAGTATTTAGCACATTCTTACAAAAATATAACTCTTCAGACAACGTGAGAAAGAGTTAAAGAAAAATGCTTTATGTTTTAGAACAAAACTACAACGCAACCTAGCTTCCACTGATTTTTACACTGCAAGTGAACCTCATTCAGCAAGAGCCCTGCACAACATGGTCAGTCTGCAGCAATACAACCAGGACTTACCCTACTGAGGTATACATACTTGCCTCAAAATATTCAGTGCTGGTGCACATGAATCTAGCTCACATTCACATTTCTTTGCCCTCTGAAGTGACCTTTCCTTTTTCAAGAATCTAACGTGTCCCATAAGTTTCAGGAGTGTATGCCCACAAGAACCTCATTACACTTAATTTCTTGCACTGCAGTGGGATGGAAAACCAGCTTTAATTTTCATGCTGATAGAGTTCAAAGTGCCTCTATAACCTACTGTTAAATCCACATCAAAATCCAAATAATCAATGTGGCAGCAGCTAAAGAATTCCATGAGGTGAAAGGTCAAAGATTCTTCTCCTGCAGAAGAGATTACAGCAATGATGAATGAAACCAGAGAAAATAAAATTTAAGACTCGCTTTCTTCCCTTTGCAATGAAGGATTTGGGTTATCCTTTTAGAAGATTGTTTTTCCTTTTTTAAAAATCTTTTAGTTATGTCCTTCTCTATACAGAAGCACTGTGGTGTTCACTTTTTTAAAAAAATCAAACAAAAACCCCTCCATCCTTAAAAAGGATCATAGATAAAAAAATCCGGTGGGGGAAAAAAAACCAACAAACTCCATGGACCACCCTTCAGGGATGAAATGCTAAAGATGTCTTTTTTTAATCAATCAGTTTGTGAAGATCTACAAAAAAAATAAAAAGGATCACATTCTAAAGGTTCAGTGCATTCAGCAGCTATATAGTTTTGCTGCTTATTCATCTTTAAGTTGACTTTCAAAAATAACAACCTAGCTCATCAAAATATACATTTTCCATTTGCTTTTAAATTAAAATAATAATAAAAAACATTTAAAGAATTCACAATCAATAGCATGACTAAGTTTCAGGATCATCTACAGCATATAATTTAAAGGTTCAAGATGCCAATATGCAGCACATGGCAGGCCTATATGCTCCATGCAGCATGTACATTTAGGATAATCTCAAATAATCTTGATGTTCAGATGTCAGTTTGTTTCTTCCAAATAGTGTAGAACACCCATCTGGAGAAAATAAGCAGTTAAGGAAAAAAAAAGGCAAAGTTTACAGTACACAGTTACAATGGAAGTGTTTCTTTTCCACATATATCCCACTTCTGAAAACTCCTGATAGCTCAATAAAGATAGAGTAAAAAACTTCAAAAGCAAAATCTCCCTGAACCCTCTTTTTAGCTCAGCAGTTCAACAGAGCACCTCATTTCCAC